AAGAGCTACAGAACTGGTATTAGGTATGCAGATTCCAGTGACGCCTACGATCTGTTAGCTTGTTACTTAAAATCCCACAAAAACTACAACGCACACAATCCTCCGAAAACTTTTGAAAAGGGGTTAGCTCTCGGCATTTACTCGGAATTTCCACAAAAACCATTTAAAATAAAAGAAGGAGGGTTCTCTTATAGATTTTCGTTATGCTAAATTGATCTATTTCACATTGTGTTTTTAGGACGACATATTTGTATACTCTGGCAGCGGGTATTTTGATTTCATTCAGAAGTGTGCAGACATTTGCAATTATAAAACAAATTCTTTATCTTTTTCAATATGTCCAACTGTCCGTTTCTAAGCAAACTAAGCAACAAAATGGAATTCGAACATTGTAAAATGAACGAAAAATAACGAATATGAATTCAGCAGACGTAATTTATTGTCTTAAATATAACGATTACTGCTGCCTTACATATTGCTTCCCTTCTTGTTGTCTCTGTGGTTTCCCTTTAAACAATGGACACTGGATGGAATAGGTTCCATGTACTGAGGTCGGTCTTTTTGAAACGTTTCTCCCGCCTGTTGACTTCAAAGGTCCCTTCCGCTTTGCATAAATATTTATGCGAGTTAATTTGTCGGCATATGTGCCCGGTGGGCGGTGGGCGGTGGGAGGTGACCCAAAGGTCGGGCCGAAGGGTCAGCTGGGTGCAATCAATCAGACATGAAACAATATTTACAATTTGAAGGCTTAATACGACTCGGTTGACGTCAGTCTGCAGAGTTCAGTGTGCCGCAGTCGGAAAGGTTGATTTAAGGCGGAGCAGCGAGGGTGAGGGGTGAACTGCGTCGGGTAGTTTTCCTCGCCTGAATGCTCCGTCTGTCCGTGATACCCGCAGGTAAACAAACAAATAGGGCCGAGGTCCTTCAATATCCTACCGCTTGACCCCGCCCCGCCCCGTCGACTCGATGCCACGCCCCCTGACAGACGGCGCCTGCCGTTGACAGCCATAAAAATGAAACACACACACGCTCTCCCAACTGACAGACACGCAACCCGTCGCTTTGTGTGGGCATAAGTGTGCGTGCGCCAGCCATTTCGACTAAAAATAAACAATAGTCCAAGCCACATAAAATTACAAAAAATTCCACACAAAAATAGCAAGTACAAGGTGCTTTCTGAATCTGATAAGCCTAGCCCGAAATACGCTTTCAATCTAGAAATACTTGAAACAGAAGTCAGACTAGCAGTGTTGACCCAAAAAGTTTTGACCTAAGCTCGCGTTAAATGAAATTTTCTTGGGACAGCAGCCACAGCTTCACTTAAATATATAAACAATTCAATACCCCAAGGATCCATTCATGAATCACACTTTAGGTCTAAATCCCTTGCTTATTAAATGCTTTTCAAAGACCCTCTGAATAGAGTAGTTAAGCCCTCTGCCACTGCCGTTTTTACGTAGATACATATATGTATGTATGCCCATAAAATTACATTAAATATTATTGCCTTTCGGTCGGTTTTCCATGGCACTTCCAGACTGTGTATATAGGATTGGCGGCACAAGGGATCCAATGGTGCGTATAATTGACATATTTGATTGTTTACCTTGAATTAGTAAAGTCAGCAAGGACCACTAAAAGGACTTACTCAGAAAGGAAAAAAGGTAATACTGAAAGGGGTTGGAAGGGAAAATGATTTCCTGAGCTTTCCTAAACATACACGCTTTTTCAAAGCCTTTCGTTTGGCAAAGGTAACAAACTTATTGGTCAAGTAAGTTCGCCAAAAAAAATATTCATAATACCAATGAATTATTATAATTTTTTATAATACTAAAAATGAATAATGAATGAATTATACTAAAGTTGAATGAAAATTCAATGTAAAGTGAATTTAATTCCCAAACTTTATTTATATTTTAAAAAGCGTTTTGATGTTTAGCCTTTTGGCTTCATGTGCTAACGTCATATGATTAAGTAAAGGACTTGGAAGTCTGCGAAACTGACTGTCTGATAGGGATTTGTTTTGACAACTTACTCTGGCTTGGCCAGCATAATCTCCTCTTGGGCAGAAAATTCCCCTTAACACGCAGCTGAATGTGTGCCTGCGAGTATGGTCTTAGTATAGACACATTTTGGCATTTGTCAGGTTTCTGCCAAGCTTAAGGTGCGCAATGATTATTCATTTAATTGTGCACACATGCAACCATCAGCGACTTCAATCTGACATTGTCAGGCTGTCGGGATCAGTCAACAAGAAATTCGATTTCATAACCCGACAACAAAAGTGTGATGGATTGCTTTGTAGATTCGATTGCCAGTGTGCGAGGAGGCTACATCCTTTGAAATGTGTAAAATGGGGGTCGTATAACATAAATTGTTACATATTGCTCGTAAATACTCCAAAGGAAAATTACGCAGGCGAGGAGCCAAAGGACTGCGCAATCTTGACTAACAGGGATGGCATTTTGTCTGTTTCTTACTATCTACATTGTATATTATAAAATTAAAAAACTGATAAGTGCATCGCCTCTCTTGAACGTTATATTATTCATGTTTGGCTGAGTTTATACAAGAAATATTCTTAAAGAATGCTACCAAATAGTTGAAAGATGAACATTGAAGTCGAGCGCTTTTCCGCAATTACCAAGTGTTACTCCATATTTCCCCTATTTCCGCTGACACATCTGGGTTAAGGAATCGTCGGCTGGCAACACTGCTCACTAACAAGCTGCAATCTACAATCTGCAGCCTGGCAATCATGTAATGTAGCGAGGCATCAGCCCAGACACAGGGAGGGGTGGGCGGCATGTGCTGCTGCTGATTGCACAAAGGATGCCCCTCAAGTCCTTGGTGACGTGTTGAGCGAAAGAACGAAACTAGCAGCCTGTGCCCGGCAGTTCTACGAAAGATGCAGTGCACCTGAACTGGGAACTCGCTGGCTGGAAGATAAATTATGGCACGGGATAACCCGACAATGGCTGAACAGTTGCTTGTCGAGAAGGGAAACCTTGGGAAAGCAGCTGCACTATATAAAGGAAATCCTTTGAGGGTCTGGTCCCACCTGAGGGACGAGTACTAGTGAGTTTTCCATCACAATTTACAAATGCAATTCGCTGTCCGGGATCTTTTTGAAGCACAATTGGAACTATGGTTAAGGAAAGTCCCATCTGGTTTATGAGAAATAAAATTTAATTTTCTGCGTCACATTATATCAGCCAATTTCAGTCGATTTTCATGCGACAAACGATGAAAGGCGGCAGTTTGTATCATAATCTCGAACAGTTGGTACCACTGGGGTATGGGTAAATGGGTGTTCCTATACAAAGGACAAGTTGCATTTGAAAAGTTCGCCCTTGACGTAAATTAAATGGCAACTATAAGCAAATGTCCGTGTGAATGAAGCCGAAATTGTGAATAGGAGCCCACCTGGCGTATGCGCAATATGAGTTCTTTGAATATAAGTAATTGTATTTGCCATTCTCAATCTTCAAATTTCCGAAATTTCAATCCTTGAAAGCCCCCAACAGATGCACGTAAATTAGTTTCATAAAAGCTAACAAGGCAGGGGAAATTCTTCTGTCCAAAACCTTTCGACCCCACTTCATTGTTCATTTGGGCCCGTTTCAATCTGCCTCTGTCTCTGCCCGCTTTCCACCCCTCTCTGTTATAATCCCGGTTTTGGCCATAGTCCTGCCACAGAAGCCTCATCATCGCCGTCGTCATCATTCGAATTCCTCGCTCGTTGTTGTTGTTGCCAGGACACGTGCAGCGGCAAGCTTTGCAGTTGACATTCCGTTACGCACGTTGCCCCTTTGGTCCTTGTTCTTGTTTTTGCTGCTGCTGCTGCTGCTGTCGGTGTCGTTGTCGTTGTCGTTGTCTAGGCAACATGCAATGTGCAGCGCCAAAGTTTTTGTGATGCATGTGCGTAGTTTACTCACAATAAGGCTCGTTGAGGCTGTCCAGGGATGCTGGGAAAAGCTCACTCAAAGTTGGCAAAGGAGCTGTGGCCCGTGCTCGGGGTAACTAACTATGCCAATGCAGGACGCTTCCACGAAGGCGCCAGTAGCGAATTGTAGCTACTCTGTACTATGGTAATATATTGAAATATTACCCGGAATACTGCTATCTTCTATTTATTCTCTGTATTTAACAGAAATGAAATTTGCTGATACCTTCTTTTCAGTTTGTACTATTTGTAAAGGGCTGAATAACTGAAAAAGAATTTTTGAAATTTTTTATTTTCGAATTTTTTACTTGGCTTTTCGTTATCGAAGCAGTATACAAATCAAACACAAATTAAACAATCAATTTGATAGAGCGATGCAGGCGCGCAAACAGCATGCAACCCAAAAGCTCACCACGTCATAAGCGGCAACAGTTGGGTTCAGTTTCTGGTGCTGAGCGCCCCACTGTGCGAGCGAACGCAAGGGTGGCAGCTAGCGGGGGGTGGGGTCGGAGGGGGTGGGGCTCAGCTGGGTCTCGGCGCAGAGCTAGAAGTGCAGGGAACCGTGGGCAGAGTGCCACACTTATGCTCACACAAGCACCCGCGCACACACACACACGCAGATGCACAGCTTTGTGTTGACGCACTTGAACGGGCTGTTTCCAGTTACCGGTTCGCAGTGGCCGCTTCTACACTGCCAGAAAATACCCTGATCCGCACGAGTTCACTATCAAGCTGTGCAGCTTTTTTCACAGCCATGATTCAAAGTTTTATGCTAAATACGCATAGGAATGCGAATTTAAAAAATAATTAAAATCCTATTTGTTAGGCTTCAACTACTTTTTCGTTTTACTATTTCATATTTTATGTGTTTTAGTTTATACTTAATAGGGCATCCTGGCTTTCAGCCCCTCCAATGAACTTATTTAGGAGTAGGTATTTTTTTTCAGTGTGCGGTTCCCACAGGTCGCTCGCGCTCCATCTCTGTTGCACTCACCACACTTGTGCGATTCGCTGTAGCTTATAACGCCGAGCACGGAACGTTGAGCTGCTCTCAGCACTCGAATTTCGCATTCACATTCTCATTCGTCAATTAGTCGCCGGCGCGAGCGAACCGCGAGTGCGGAAAAGGAAAATCTTCCGAAACGGACTTTCCTCCAGCTGGAAAACTGCTATCCCGACCAAGACTAGGAGCGATCAGTGGAGATTTCGAAACCCGAAAGCAGGGCACTCCTCACTGATGGCCAAGCGAGGAGCAAATGTGATTTGGTTTCGCCATGGACTGCGGCTCCATGATAATCCCGCTCTATTGGCCGCCCTCGCCGATAAGGATCAGGGTGTAGCCCTCATTCCCGTTTTCATATTCGATGGAGAGAGTGCAGGTACGAGTCGAGGTGCTTCAGAGCTATTTGACGGATTTTGATGTGATACCCATCAAATGAAAGGCATCCAACTACAAGTTACCTTGAACTTACCCAGCAGTACACTTTTGAAAATTTCGATTTCCTAAAAAAAATACCTTTTTAAATTATTTAGATTAAATTGAATAAATTTTGAAAAACTGCAGATAGAAGAACATATATTTATATGTTTGAAAATACTGCAAAAAGAAATAAAACCGGTGGCAACAGAGGGTTAAAATAAGTATTTTTAGTTTGATTGCCATTACACGCTCATTCTCCGTATGAGCTAATATCATTTTTGCGACTTGCATCGGTTATCACATTCAACCTCTTTCCGCGACCGCTGCGAATTCCGAGTTTTCGCTGCTCGTGGAAATGGGAAAGGGGAGAGCTGCAGGGCGGAAAATGGAGGGAAAACCTAATGCACTTTTGCATGGTAGAACAAAACAAACGATGCGACCTAATGCGATTTGTGGCTGGTGGTTTTCAGAATTTTCCGTTAAATCCCTGAGAGCGTTATAGAAGATATAGAATGCAAATGGGTAGAGACATTGAGCACAAACCAGAATAGTAGTATAATGCTTTTGTTTAAACAGTTCGCTTGCTGAAAAGGTCGGGGAGAAACAGAGGTACCTATAGAACCCATCACTTGACCGATAAGAGCTGTTCTGTGGGGAAAAGCGGGAAAACAATTATTGCAATGGAAAATCGGCTAAACTGAATCTTTTTGTGAGTTCAAAAGCTGAACAGTCATCTGAGAGGTCGCATTTAAATTGACAACCTTGTTTTGCATTCCTAGTTTGGCTACAGTTGTGCCAGCTTAAGTGTTTTCAACTTTTGTGTAAATTACCAAGATAAATTCTGCGGAACAATAAAAAGTATTAAACGTAGAAAATAAATAATTTATTGATTCACTTTGAAAAGACTAAAACGTTTTGATACAATTTTAACACAAGCTTTGGCAAGCGCTGCATTGATACTAAAAATTATTTTTTTAACTGAATTCTCTTAGTTTCAACTTCAATATTATTGTCCAATTAAGTACCTATAAAGTAAAGTATAAAGTAGCAACAAAGTAACTGAACATAAACTAACTACACGTTGTTCAACGTGTTCAACGTTCAACGTTGAATATTTTTTAGTTTCCTTAACCATTTTAAAGGGATTGTTTTGAACACAAATCTTTTTGTAATTGGATTGGGTTGGTTTTGAATATCACAGCAGTACAAAAACTAATAAAATATTCTTTATCGGATAGTTTGAACGATTTTAAACACAACAGAGACGACGCCTAAGTCTTCAACTATTAGACTATTAGATACCCGTTACTCAGCATAAGGGAGTTTCCTCGATTTTAAACTACTCTGCGTTCGACGTGGACGAAGAAAATACTTTGGGTATTTAAAAAATCAAAATAGTTTTTGTCACAACACTATACATATAAAAACATTTCAACATATACTGAAAGTGCAGAAGTCACTTGTTTATTACTTCGTTAAGAAGTGTTGTTGCTTGATTGCAACTTTTTTTAATGGTTTATGTTGAAGTGGGCGTGACAATCACTTAAGACCCTAAAATCCGTCTATTAATTTGTTTTCAAAGACCTCATCACTTATACGGACAGACAGACCGACGCACATTGTCCTTTTTATTCCATGAGTGACGGGTTCAAAAAAGTTTGTAATGTGGTTGAGATATTTATCCAAAAAAAATTATAAGGTATTTATCTTGAAAGAAATAGCAAACTCAAAAATACTATTCCCTAACAGGTACCAAGAATGTGGGCTACAACCGAATGCGTTTCCTGCTGGACTCGCTGCAGGACATCGACGACCAGCTGCAGGAGGCAACAGATGGACGTGGACGCCTCCTCGTCTTCGAGGGCGAACCGGCTTTTATCTTCCGACGGCTGCACGAGCAAGTGCGTCTGCACAGGCTATGCATAGAGCAGGACTGCGAGCCGATTTGGAATCATCGCGATGAGACCATCCGTGCTCTATGTCGGGAGCTGGGTATCGACTTTGTCGAGAAGGTGTCACACACGCTGTGGGATCCGCAACTGGTGATTGAGACCAATGGGGGCATTCCACCGCTCACCTATCAAATGTTCCTGGTAAGTTTTTAATCTAGTTCTGTTCTTCTTTTGAGAAAACATCCCTAAAACAAAATTAACAAATTTAAGAACTATTTAACCATCTGCAAATCAGATCATGATCAAGCAATAATACATGTAATCCTTTAGCACACAGTGCAAATTATTGGGCTTCCTCCGCGTCCCACCGCCGATGCTCGACTGGAAGACGCCACCTTTGTGGAGTTGGATCCCGAGTTCCGCCGGAGTATTAACATGTTCGAGAAGCTGCCCACACCGCATCACTTCAATGTGTATGAGGACAACATGGGTTTTCTGGCCAAGATTAAGTGGCGCGGAGGCGAAAAACAGGCCTTGCTGCTTCTGGGTGAGCGTCTCAAAGTGGAGCAACACGCGTTTGAGCGCGGATTTTATCTGCCCAACCAGGCGCTGCCCAATATCCACGACTCCCCCAAGTCGATGAGCGCCCATCTGCGCTTTGGTTGTCTTTCGGTACGTCGCTTCTACTGGAGCGTCCATGATCTCTTCAAGAATGTCCAGCTGCGCGCTTGTGTGCGGGGCGTTCAGATGACTGGCGGCGCACACATCACGGGACAGTTGATCTGGCGGGAATACTTCTACACCATGTCGGTGAACAATCCGAACTACGATCGCATGGAGGGCAATGAGATCTGCCTGAGCATCCCGTGGGCTAAGCCGAAAGAGGATCTCCTGCAGCGCTGGCGCTTAGGCCAAACGGGATTCCCGCTCATCGATGGCGCCATGCGACAGCTCCTGGCCGAGGGATGGCTCCACCACACGCTGCGCAACACGGTGGCCACCTTCCTCACGCGCGGCGGGCTGTGGCAGAGCTGGGAGCACGGACTGCAGCACTTCCTGAAGTATCTGCTGGATGCGGATTGGTCGGTCTGCGCTGGCAACTGGATGTGGGTATCCAGCTCGGCCTTCGAAAGGCTGCTGGACTCCTCCCTGGTCACCTGTCCGGTGGCATTGGCCAAGCGACTTGATCCGGACGGGACCTACATCAAGCAGTACGTCCCGGAGTTGGTAAAAGTGCCCAAGGAATTTGTGTAAGTTTGTGAATTGGAATTAATTATAACAATTTCAGCACAATTTCTTACTGAGAAGTAATAGAAGTACCGATGTTATACTTGTCGTACACGCAATATATGATTCGTTAAATATTTCCCTTTTTGTTTTTCCAGTCACGAGCCATGGCGAATGTCTGCCGAGCAGCAGGAGCAGTACGAGTGCCTGATCGGAGTCCATTATCCGGAGCGGATCATCGACCTCACCATGGCCGTACAGCGCAACATGCTGGCCATGAAGGCGCTCCGGAACTCGCTGATCACCCCGCCTCCGCATTGCCGCCCATCCAACGAGGAGGAAGTGCGTCAGTTCTTCTGGCTGGCCGACGTGGTGGTTTGAAGGAGCATGATAACCAATCCAATTTTGATTCGATTCGATTTCACAATTAATAAACTATTACCAGTAAAATATTATATATAATTAATAATGCTTTATTTTCTTCAATTAAAATAAGTACTACAATACAATTTGTATCCGCTTTATTTGGTTTCGTTTTATTTTTAACAGCTTATAACGTGTTACTCATATATCAATTTTATTCAGCTTATTTTAAAAATCGTTTATGGTGTATATATATATAATTATTATTATCATCTGTATTACGTTGTCAAATTATACGTTTATTAACAGCATTAATTAAATAGTTTTTGCTTTAATTGGGTCTTCCATACGAGAAAAATTGAACGCGAAGTATTTCAAATATTGAAATTTATTATATGTCGATCTATTGATCCTTGCTTCGTTTGCCTTTCGTTTAATGAGAGATTCTATCTTATAATTTGTCTAAGTTGTTGTGTATATTTTATTTTAATGCCTAAATTTTGGTGTTCCTTCTAGATGTGTGCCATTCAAATGAGATATTGGTAGGGGTTGATGGGACCTAAAAGGAGTTATTGTTGAAGTTTGAGTCCCTCGACAGTTCGCTACAAATTAAGTTGGAGAAAATCTAAACTCGACCAGGCCGAGCTTTTCGCTCACCCCCTACCAGTGTCTTCCCCGCAAGAGTCCTTTGTAGGAAGTAAGCTTTTGTTTAGACATCCACATCCTCTGAATTAATTGAAGTAAATTCGAGTAAACATTTAGAGCGTTGCTTGGCAAAAGGTTATTTTGTTCCGTTAAATGTAAATGTCACACACATTGCGTAGTATACGATAGATAGCTGAATAAATAATTGAACCAACCAATTCAATCAACAAACGAACGAGAACGAGAACGAACGAGAACTCACAGCAAATAACAATTTGATGCAATTTATACTTTATGGAATATCTCGTAACGCATTATACTTTTATCATTATTATATTTTTAAAGTACTCCCCAGTTTCAAGTGTCCTCTCTGTATGTGTGTATGTACAAATGTATAGTATTGTGCTGTTGCGGATGCATTCTGTGTGCTAAGTGGATGTGTGTGTTCGAACCGAATGGCTATAAAAGTAAAAGGCTGCTTGTCCCCATTCTGTGTGCAATAAGTTTAAATCCCCCTGATTTTCCCCAGTCCGTCTCCAATCCCCACTACCATATACCATATGGTGCTAGCTGACTGCTTTAAGCCTATGAGGTTCAATTAAATTCACTTGCTTTTTAATTTTTCCTGCTACTGGGCGCCTGTTTCACTCATGCGTGTGTTTAAGATCATGAAAATATAGCATCACTAATGATTTTGTTAAAAGCTTTCAATATTTTTGGTTTTCATAGAGGTTATAGCTTCAAAATGGACGTTTCATAGATAGATCATTAATTTCACATAGACTTCAAGAGCTATTTCTTTGTTTGAGCAGAACTACGTGGCAGATAGTAAAAAACTCGAGGCGACTTTGAGGATATGTGGCTACAGCAGAAGAGTACGGTGTATCTAAGGTGGTTTACTTTAGGGATTCCTCTTGTTTGGGCATTTCAGATATTGGCAGTTTCCTAGTGTTGTTTGGTGTGTATGAAAACTTTTGAGAATGGAAATACAAATGTTCTTGGGCAATTCCCATTACAATATGAAATTGTCATTCATCGCAGCCAGATGGACTATAATGCAATCGTAGCTTACAGCTAACTCCACTCGCAAGCGGTTCATAAATCATTCAAACTAACCCATGGAAGGCAACTGTTTGCTAAGTCAATCCAATCCAAGACCCCTCAGACTGTCATCCTCTTCCAGGTTATCTTGGGATTGGATTGTTACATTGACTTTTTGAAATGCAAATCGCATGCGGACCACAGATGCATAGCCAATGAATGCAAATAGACATGCCTGCATAGGCTCCTATGTACATACATGTTCTCAGAAAATCACATATTCAAACTGCTTCCACCTCTCGCCCTCCCCGACAGGTCGGTTGTTTGCGTTTAACTTTTTACATTAACTGTCATTTGGTTTATTTCACAATTTACAAAATGCAACTTAAACAATGGGATTATACGTGGTGCAGGCCATGCGTGGAGGAGAGTGTCGTCGACAGATGTCCTGTGTGTTTGCTCGGCATCCTGGTAACATTTTACATACAGTGCAGTGGAAGGAACTTTACTAACTTACTGCGGTTGCAACTGTTTCTCGGGTTCTTTAATTTGTTGTCGTGTGCTACACTAGTACTAAGCTTTGTTGCTGCGGTCGCCGTACACTTGGTGTTTGCTTAGTTTGCTTTTGTTTCAGCTGACGCTGCTGTGGCTTCACATTGCTTTAATTTTCGTTCATTTTGTTTTCATGGTGTTAGTTTATATCGTAAATTTATTTATGCAATTTTATCTCAATTTCATTAATCTGTTTTGCTTTGTTTTGTTTTGTTTTGCCTTTTAGTTCTTGTTTTGCCTGGTTTTTACATACACATATTTTGTTTACAATTTTCTACTAGACTTAATCGGCATCCGCGCGCATACCCCGCACCTCGCCCACCTGCCGCGCCTTGTCCAGCTCCTCCTTCGTCTGGTCCTCGATGGCGCGGATGTCCTCCATTGTTAGACCGTACCAGCGATCGGTTGAACAGAAAACTTGGCTGAAAAGGGAATGGAAGAGCGATCAATAGGGAGTTTCCATCTAGGGTTTACTAAAAGGTTATTCATACAAATCGACCTGCATAGATTCAAACTAATTAATCAAGCATCGAATTTAAAGCTATACAATTTAAGGGCAATTACCGATGGAAGTTTGTAAAGAGGCGCCGCTCCGACTTCTGTATGAAATTCTCTACTCTTGTTTGCAGGCCGAACCATTTGAACTCGCACGTGACCAGCTTGTAGCAGGTCATGACAGGATTAACATGCTTTTTCCAGTCGGCTCCCACCAGGGGACCGCGGCCCGTCTTCTTTGACTGGTAGCTGAGAGGATAACCGGAACGTAAATCACAAATTCTCATCAGTATATTCAGAATTAACGCTTACGTGGTTGGATCCTCATCGGGCTTGTAGTCCGCGGGCAGCACCGGATCGTTGGCAATGTCAATGTGCACTATCTCTCGCACTTTCAGCTTATCCGGCGTCAGCTCGTGCACCTGCAACATCGAAAAGCACGACAAGATATCTTAGATCCATAATAAATTTTGTGGCTAATGGAACACGAAAAGCGTTACTACATAGACATGAACATGGATCGATGGCGGATAGGAACTACAAAGCCGAGCCGAGCAAACAGCAAATGAAATAGAAAACAAACGAAACTTACGTTGTCAACAGTGCCAAGGTCATTTTCTATATGTTGCGAATAAATGTCTATTTTAAAGTTTTTATCCATATAACCAGGATTCTTAATCGAAAACCAAAAGATAACAAAACCAAACCAAACCGAAAAAGCCAAACGAAATGGTGGTGCAATTTTGACCAAATCATATTGCAGGATGATAGAGTGTGATTAGCCGGGAGTAGTTAGTATTCACAATTAAATGCATGGTTGAGATGGGGTGATGTTATGGAGAGAAAAGAAGAAAACACATGTTAGTTATATCATGCTGTGGATTCTCGACTTACATTTTCTGAATCGCCCGCATCTCCGACGTGCAGAGTGTCGATGATTATTTTGAAAGCATCTTTCATAAACTTGGGGTTCTAGAAATTCAATATAATCACAGTAATCATCAGGTTGTCTCACGTATATTGCTAATGGAACCGAGGTGTTCTGTTTCTAACCCCCATTTTGTTACAATAATTAGTGGTGTCCCCATTTACCGTGATAATCGTTCGACAATAGGGATAGGCGTTCCATGCCTCCTCGTGGATCTCCAATGAGCCCTTGGGTGCCAATAGTCGTATGTAGGCTGGAACTTTTGATTGCAGATGGTAGATCTTATATGTATATTGCCCGGAATTGTATTTGCCACCTATGGGAATGGAAAAATTCTCCGTTAGTGCGCAGTTATTCATTACCAATCGTTAATTGCTTACCCAGCAGTGGGAAGTCTTCGAAGGGTTCGTTCTTTAAGACCTCGATTCCCTCGCCGCCTCCTGTATTCTCTTTTGACGCCTCGGCCACCGAGAATAATTGTGCAACTTGATACTGTGGAGCAGAAAAAAGGAGAGTTGGGAAAATAGTTCTCCACATGACAGGGGGCTTTTTCCCCAGTTAACTCTCTTACCTCTTCCACAGTCAATGGCAAAGTCACACGGCTGCAACGAGAAAAAAACAATGACTGTGTCAGCGAATGTATGCATAAAGGCTACGCGATTTTAATTAAGTTTAATATAACCATTTTAATTAAATACCATTCCTGTGCATAAAAACTGGCGATACTCCTCGCTCTCCAACGAGCAACGGAGCATCCAGTTCAGTTTGAGAGGGAAATATGAAAATGATTAACAAAAACCAGTGAAAGGCAACCAGATATTATTTACCTTTAAAAAGGAGCGGTATTCACAACACGTTTCAGTAGTGGGGTACTTGGATATGTGCAAACAAATGGAATACGGGTTCAGAAACAATAAATGTCACGACTTCATAGAAATAGTTTACGGGTTGACTGCATTCGTTTTAGTTTACTTTTGAAGTCATTCAATCTCGATGGCAATGAGCACATTTAATGACTACAAATGTACATTGTAATAGCAAAGCATTCCCCTTAAGACAATCTTTAAGCTGCCTAATTGCGTGGTCCACTTCAAGTTCCTAGCAGCAATGCACAAAATTGCCTCCAATTACAAGCCAGCCATCTAATCTACTCAGGTTCTACATGGCCTAGGCAATGAACTCAAGCCCCAAAGTATGCAGTACCTATTCAAACAAGGGATCTTGAGACTAATTGCAAGAATGACCATCAGTAATTTTGGCTAAGGCCAATCAATCGAGGCCAATTGATACCTGTTGAGATAAGATCTCAGTTAATTTAAATGGGCACTTTACCTGGCTAAAATAGTTAATATTACTGCACAATTTAAAGTATATATTTTTAATTAAAAGCTTACACAAGTGGGCGGAACTTGGGCATTGGAATAAAATCAGAAAAA